GAAGTCACCCGGCAGAGCAATCTCCAAGTGGGACCTCGGCGCGTTTATGGTTGACGCTGTTTTCGAATCTAAATACTACCAGTCGGTCATTGGGTTGTGCAATGTACCAAAGCAATAGGGTTGTGATTTTCGATGTTACGTTAGATAGATAACTCACTGTTGGTGCAGAAATTAGAATAGCTCAAAATATATTACAAGTTCTTACATACTATATAATAATTAGAGTGAGGTCACACGGTTTGTAGTTTGTACGGTGGTGGTGTTTTATATATATAATGTATGTAGTCAAAGACTTCTATGTATGGGGTACTGCTAGACATTGCTAGACATTACGCACTAAGCTACGGTCCATTCCTCGTAACTCTTTAAGTCGACTGCGAGCGGCGTTCAAAACTAGTGGTGGGTCGTTGACGGAATTTTTGACGGACGGAACGCAACCGTTGGTTTTTTGGAGTTTTGGCGGGAACGGGAACTTGTCACTACTGTTTTGTCGCTTGAATAATGGTTTGAAGTAGATTTTGATTCGTAAAAGTGATGCGATTTTGTGAATTAAGTGTCCGCGTGTGTGAACTATTAGAGAAAACGACGAAACAAGTGCTTTGGTGTCGATATAAACCTCAAGTTATTTTGGTCGCTTTGGCGCCTTACGAACTTGAGTGGCTATCGTCACCAACTGTCCGCTGGGTTGAGCTGTCGTCAAAATCTCCCAAGGGCTTTGCAATGTGACGCATCAGCATATTGTGAAGAAAAAGAATATAAAAATGAAGATTCCGAAAGAAATGATAGGTTCAGAGAAGGGCTAGAACCCAGAGTCGTAATGCCAGTTAATAAAATAAAAAAAGCAACCGTTTTCCCGACGGCGAAAGATTTGAAATGAATGAAATGGCTTAACAAATAATTCGTTTTATCGATCGACTTTACTTAACGATGAAATGAACCACCCGTCATACTTTTCCAAGCTTAGGACTGGCTGGGACAGATTCCATCCTCCACCCTCCATTAACATTAGCGACTGTATTTCATTGACAAAAAGTTCACTTTTTATTGTAAGGACAGTTTATACCCTGTCTACGTTTGTAAACGAACGCGGAACCAAAGACTGCTATATAACGCGGATCATTAAGGACGACGACACGAAGAGTGAGATAGATAGTTGAATAATTGCGCTCTCGACTGCTTTTTTTATAGGCGTAAAATAAAAAGTCGCACCAAATAAATCGAAGACTGGTTTGTACTACGAAGACTGTTTGAAGACTGACCCAGGTCATAAAACGGTTGGACCGTCGCAGAACACAAAACGGTCTTCGTAAACGGTTCGTCGTCGCAACGCCCACCTCTATTAAAAACAACGTTCGCGGCCTTACTCTCATTTTGTTTTATGTGACTTTTTTATAGAAGAGGGCGCAAACGAGCATATGATTTACCTGATGTTAAAAGTGACTACCGCCGCCCATAAACAACTGCAACACCAGGGGAATTGCAGGTGTGTTGCCAGACTTTTAGAAAGGAGTAAGCTCTTTTCTTGAAGGTCCCTAAGTCGTATCGGTCAGGAAAAAGTACAGTGGTGGACCGCCAAGCATTCAGATGGTGTGGATGGTTTCGGGAGGTTTGCGGCGTAGTGCGTTCATGAAATTTGGCGGCTGGTATTAATCCGAACAATTCCTCAGAGCACTCCCCGTGGTATATGCGAAAGAAAATGCAAAGAGATGCAACATCTCTTCGCAGCGCCAGTGAATCGAGCCGATCGGAAAGCACTCGGTCGTCGACGATTCTAGCCGCTCTGCGCTGGATGCGGTCAAGTGCAAGGAGCTGACACAAGTATGTCCCGGTACTCTGAGACGTTTTCCCGAGAAATATTGACACGGCCGGTGTACAGTGCATCATCAGTGCTGTCATTTGCATAGCAATGAATGTTACCGGTTTGCAACATATCATTGATATGCAGAAGAAACAGCGATGGTGATAGCACGCAGCCTTGTGGAACGCCATCATTAATATGCTTGTAATCTGAGCTTGCACCATCTACAACGACCTTGATGCTCCGACTTGCTGCAAGAAAGCTGGTGAACCATTTGCACAATTTCTCGGGTAGAAGGAAAGAAGCGTTTTGTGCTAAACCCGATCGAAGGCCTTTGCAATGTCCAAACTAACAGCCAACGCTTTCCCTCTTGGGCTCTAATGCCTCCGCCCAACTATGAGTCAAGTAGACCAGAAGATCACCAAATGATCGACCACGACGAAAACCGTATTGGCGATCACTAATCATTTGGTGATCCTCAAGGTACCTCATGAGCTGGCAGTTTACAATGGACTCCATTGTTTTGAAGAACAAGGAGGGCGATAGGCCTGTAGTTTGACGGATCTAAACAGACTTAGAAAACGCTGTCATTATTTATGTACGCACTTTGTCAAAGTAATTTTAAGTTTATGTCAGATAAGTGCGTAACTTTCTTATTGCTTAAAAACAATAACTTCGTAAATGAAAATACAACTGCATGACAAATTTTCCGTAGCAGCCAAACGACCGCGCCTGCATGATCCACCCCGGTGCACAGTTTTTGTCGCAACAAATTCACAAATTGCCGGTCGGTCTAATAATCTACATGCAACAGTGCGACATCTTAGCTCTGCTAGCGCCAGACTTATGTAGGTACTTTTTAATTTACAACCAAAATGTATATCGGCCTGTTTCATAAGTATACAGTTCGCCTTTAAAACGTAGTGATTATATTACCACTCTTTAGTCCTTCACTCGTGTAAGCGTTTATCTCTTGTCGGTCAGTAGGGTTGCCAAACGTCCTAAATCCTGGGGTCTGTCATTGTTATTGAACAAACTTTGTCTCTGCCTTTCGATGCACTTGCGTTCTACTTGCATCTATAGCGGTGGCGAGCGCTGATGAGAAAGATGAAATCACACGGAGGTGATCACAACTGTGGGAATTAACTGACTAACATCTCACACATTTGCATTTAAATTCTTAATCAAGGATAGATGTGAATGTCTATGGGCCACTGGATCCATCAGGAGGACTGTGTGCTCTTTTGCCACCCTAATTATATTAAAAAAAAACATTAATAAATTTCGCGCCAGAAACTACATTGTACTTTATTAATTTAATCAAGTGCTATTCAATTTTGACGTAAGTGGTCCTAGGGCGCAATTTAAATTAGAATTTAAGTGATCATGTGGCTTCGCTCTTAATACTAAGTTATATGAAAAGAAATGCATGTCTCAGATGTTTAAAACTTCATATTAAAAAAATGGCGGGAAATTAAATAAGTATGTTTTATATAAGTTTTTTTGTCCTTAATTTTAAGTTGAACAAAAGTTCGTGCATGTATATGTATTAATTTTTCAACATCTAAAACTAGGAATTGCTCCCAACAGTATATCTATGTAAATTATATATTTTAATAAATTAAAAAATGTTAAATACGCCCGTGTTTGCCTTGTTGTGCCTGAGTACTGACCAATAGGTATCAAATAAGAATACTGTATACATATTATAGTATGTTAATATGTTTGTCCGGATGTGGAAGCAATGGTTAACATGACAAAAGAAACAAGTTATTAAATCTAGATATTCATTATTTAGTTGCGAATGGACATTCATTGCAATTGCAGTTACTATGTTCTTTTATTTTACATTTTGCTTAGATTAGCGCAATTTTTTTTACTTTTTTATCTAACAATATTTCTCAAAAAAAAACACAAAAGGAAGCCTTTTATGCGACCAGTTATGCTTAAAAAAGTATTATATAGTATGTTTTGCCGGATGTGGAAGCCATGGTTATCATGACAATAAAAACAAGTTATTAACTTTGAATAGTTATTTGTTATTTAGTAGCAAATAGGCTTGCCAAAATTATTTTATTCTAATTAGTTCCATATTAGTTATACATTTTTCTAACGTTGGCGCTAAAACTACTTTTTTTTTAATTATTGATCTAGCTATATTACTAGGAAAAACACTTAAAGTCCTAAATGCTGCCAATTATGCTTTCAAAAGTATTATAGGAACGGTTAAAATACCTCATGTATAATTGTATTTATTCTTTACACGTACTGTAGAATTTGAAATAAAAAGTCTATTATGTAACAAATGAAAATGTTTTATTTTTCCTTATATATCGCCGGATGTACATTTTTCTTCAATTTCGACCTGTTATAGTTAACGCTGGATACGGCCTCTTTATTTTAGCTAAACACTGTGGCGAATTCGAGTTATAGATTCGAATTCTGCACGGTAAACAGGATTGTATGGGGCCTACAAATAAAATTTTCAAGTCTATATCCGTGTTTGTGTCTGTGCTTTATATGTACACATAAAACACTATCATAGTTCAGGTAAAGAGTAAACCCTACTGTTTAAAAAAATAATAAAAAATATAATATTCACGTGTCAGGTGGGTTGAAAAAAAAAGGTTTAAGTTTTAAAAACGTGATTATACCCAAAACGTCTAGCACTGGATAAAAGGCGAACGAACTGCACCGAATTCCTTAGGTATATAAAGAAGAGTTTCATACGTGGTGGAGCCACGCTACAGCTATATTATGGTTGTAGCACGAATGAGTGCTCGACCGGGGAAGAACCACGCTCTCACAGAATATCAGCGTAAATAACAGCTTAATGCTGCTGTTTCGTATGTTGATTGTAGAGAACCGGAGACCATTTTTACTGAATCCATGTTAAAGCGAATCTGCGTATAAAAAATTGTACGTTTAATTGTGTACACACGTACAAAGTGAAACTTCTTTACGACATACCATTCTGGCTTTGCCAGTGCCTCGGCGATGAAACGTTAGAAGAAAATTTGACGTTTATTTTTAATAACGTACTAAATTTCTGCACTACATCGATCTGTGATGTCTTTAGGCCACAGCATCTTCTTACCATCAGGTGGACTATGAGCTCGTATGTCACGTATATTCTTTAAAAAAAAGTGGGTCGTGACTAATGTACTTTTTTGTGAAACACTAAATCCACTAGTTAAAACCGTCACTCAGGTCTTACTTCGGAACCATTGGTACGCGTAACACGAGTAGCTATATTGATGCCGCCCGGGGCCTAGAGTAAAAAATGGTGATAGTATCTTAAAATGTCTTGCAAAGTTTGCATATGATATTAAAATAAATATCATTCATCATCATCATCATTACAGCCCTTCACAAGTCCACTGCTGAATATAGGCCATCCCCAAGGAATGCCATAAAGCACGGTCCTGAGCCACCTGCGTCCATCGAGTTCCTGCATGTCTTACCAGGTCGACACTCCATCTAGTGGGAGGTGCCCTTCACTTCGTCTACCGGTACGAGGCTGCCACTCGAAAACCTTTCTTCCCCATCGGTTTATCATTTCTAAGTTTATCACGCAGAGAAACCCCGAGCATAGTCCTCTCCATAGCTCGCTGAACGACCTTGAGCTTCCTCATGCGGCCAGCAGTGAAGGACCACGTCTCAGATCCCCATAAGTCATCACAGGCATTAAAAAAGGTAGAGCGGAGAACTGATTTTATATATTTTTGTATTTTATTTGTAATAAAAAAAAAATTCAATTTTCCTACACAAAACGGCAATTTTACCTGCTACACTGAAAAATTGACTTTTGACCTGACTGATTGGCTTGCATGACTTCAGAACGCATTGACTTCTCATTAAAATATACAATGTGACTGCCACGTGAGTCTAGTGGTCGTCACCGCGGCTGCTAAACATAAGGTTTCGGGTTCAAATTCGGGGTCGAGCCAAAAAAAGGTGTAATTAAGTTTTTCAGTTAAGAAATTTTCCAGCAGGCCAGAGTTAGAAAATTGAGAAGATTGCACCTGTGCTCACGCACACACTGCGGCACCGATCCTGTTCTGCGGAGATGGCAAGACTCTGTCACGAGCCGCCGTGAATGATGTTCGCTCTGGAGGCGGGCAGTATCTACAGTGTAAACTATTGATTGCTGCCTGCAGTATTGACAGTTACCACTGAGGTGATGAGGGCGTGAGCGGCAGGTGGCACATATGGTAAAATCACAGTTTAAAAAGAGTCTGTGACAATTGAAAAACAAACAACAATTGTGAAACGCCTTTGACGTCAGGTGATGCCGTCGGCCGCTACCCACAAAGGTGTTTACCTTTTAAACAAAGTTATAGCCTATTTACGTCCCACTGCTGGGCACAGGCCTCTTCTCATTTCTGATAGGGTTTTAGTGCAAGGAAATGTCAGCCGCGCTGCCCCAATGCTTGTTGGCGAGCTTCACATGTCTGAAATATTTTTTTCGCATTTCTCAGACATGCAGGGTTTCTCACGATGTTTTCTTTCACCGCCGAGCACTTGGTACATCAACACTTAAAATTAAAATTAACAATTTCATTTGCACCGACGGGGATCGAACCCGCTGTTGCTGGCATACTGTGAAATATCACGGGTCTTTACCCTCCATAATATTTACTATTTACGATGTCCTGCGCAAATATGATAGGTTTTTTAATACATAAATACTCACGCTTGTCACCCAGAGGGGTCTAGAAACTACAGACTTCCATTTGGCACGATCCTGACACACCTCTTTCGCTTCCTTTACGTCCATATACCTACGCATACATGCTCGTCGGTTAAGGGTACTTCTAATTTGGCCCGTTTTCAATTCCCTTCTCCATCACATCCTAGGACATCCCTTTCCGACTCTGCCATTCACTTCTGCAACATAAATTTTTTTGTCACTCTTTCCTCATTCATTCTTTCCACGTAACCAAACCACCGAAACATTCCTTTCTTAATCCTGATCGCAACATCATGTTGCAAACCACACTCTTCTCTTATCACACAATTTCTCACCCTGTCATTCAAATTCAGCCCTAGCATACTCCTTAACGACCGCATTTCTACTGCATTTATTCTGCTCTCGTGCTTCTTCTGCCACACCCAATTTTTACAACCATACGTTAAAGTAGGGACCAACACAGTATTGTGAATTGCCATACGTGCCTTTTTTGACACATTTTGACTCTTCACAATAGAGTGTAGAGCCCCATTTACTCTATTTCCTGCGTTCACTCGTCGTTCTATATCCTTATCATATCTCCCATCCCTACTACTTATTAGTAGTAGGTTTTTTAAAATTGGCAATAAAATAACATATAACATAACATAAACACTCACGCCTGTCACCCAGAGGGGTAGGCAGAGACTACAGACTTCCATTTGGCACGATCCTGAAACACCTCTCTCGCCTCCTTCACATCCATACACCTCCGCATACATGCTCGTCGGTTAAGGGTACTCCTAATTTGGCCCGTTTTCAATAAATCGCCAATTTGGTCGATAAATTTTCGCCTAGGACGTCCCTTTCCGACTCTGCCATTCACTTCTGCAACATAAATTTTCTTTGTCACTCTTTCCTCATTCATTCTTTCCACATGACCAAACCACCGAAGCATTCCTTTCTTAATCCTGGTCACAACGTCATCTTGCAAACCACACTCTTCTCTTATTACACAATTTCTTACCCTGTCATTAAGATTCAGCCCTAACATACTCCTTAACGACCGCATTTCTACTGCGTTCATTCTACTCTCGTGCTTCTTCTGCCACACCCAACTTTCACTACCATACGTTAAAGTAGGGACCAACACAGCATTGTTAATTGCCATACGTGCCTTTTTCGACACATTTTGACTCTTCACAATAGAGTGCAGGGCCCCATTTACTCTATTTCCCGCATTCACTCGTCGTTCTATATCCTTATCGTATCTCCCATCCCTGCTAAATGCAATAAAATAATTTCGGGTATTATTATCCTCATAATCATTTATTAACATTCTAAGCTTATATAAAGGATAAAAACATTCATTGAACAAGAAATTTTTTTTATTACTACGAGTACAAAAAAATACATTTACAGGTGTTGTTTGTTCTTGTTGTTTTTTCTTTACAGGTTTTGTCACCGTCAAATATTTTCGTAGCACTTTATTTTTAGAAGTTTTTAGTTTTCGATTGTTTTTGATTATTCGTAGATATACGAATGAACAATTTTATCAAAAATAAAGGAGGGCAACAGGCCGTGATTTGAAATCAACTTTATTTAATAACCAATCATATAACTTATGTGAAATGTTGTTTCCCATAAACGAACGGAAATTTTGTTTAAAAGTAGCTTCTAACTCACTAAAATATTCCACGAAATCGGCTGAAGGTATACTTATAGACCAAAGGCAAAAATCACGCAGGCTATTGCATGCCCGTCCACGTAAATAATCAAGTGCCTTTTTAAAATTATTTATTTTTAAAATTTGCCAATATTTCGAAGACATGTTAAGTTCGCCAACACGCATCGGGGCAGTGTGGCGTACACTTCCTTGCCGTAAAACCCTCTCAGAAATAAGGGGAGGCCTGTGCCCAGTCATGGAACGTATATAGGCTGTATAAAAAAATGACACGTTTTTTATCATATTCTTTGCATTGTCATACTAATTCGAGCTACATTCAAAATATAAGTTTCCCGCTCATCGGAAAGTTAGCTTAAAATCACCCGGAACGATAGACAAACAAGAAAATGACAATAAAAATTTGGTAAAATTAATTGCTGTTGGTTAGTCGATGTTACTTGATGCGTATTTAATTATTGATAAGCAGCTGCTAAGTGTTGTTCATACATGTCCCCTTACAAAATCGCAAAATCCACGGCAACCTCATATTTCCCCACAATATTGCAACATTATTTCAACGAGGCAGTTTTGCTGACTTCAGCTTTACCTGGTAGAGCCACGCTGCAGCTATATTACCTACTGGTATAATTGTAGCACGAATGCGTCGGCTCAACCGGGGAAGGACCACGCCCTCACATAATACAAGCGTAAAATAGCAGCTTAACGCTACTGTGTTTGGTACGGTAAGTGTAGAAAAATATAAAGATCCGGAGACTCTTTTTACTGGAAACGAGGCATGCCATCTTAGTCCTCACGGGTGACAACGCATCTGCATTTGGATTCGTAATCAATGATAGATGTAGATGTCCATGGGCCATAGCAACCACTTAATATCAGGTGAACTGCGTGCTCGTTTGTCACCTTTATCCTATAAAAAAGTATTACCGGAAATCCAAGAATCGCACACCACGTCGTTTGCAACATCGAACAAGTGTAGACTTAATTAAAATTTGTTATTTTAATTGCAATATTTTTCTTTTAAATAAATTTATAGTCACGTTGCTTTTTTTCGGGTCCTGCGGCAGCGACATCCATAATTTACGCACAACGCCGCAATAAATAATCACAAACGTACAGAAAACAATTCCACTCAGGAATATCGAAACTTGTTAACTATTTTGAGTGGATGGGGGTAGACCGCCACACAAAATTTTATTTTGTTGTGATTGAGATTTATTCTGTATAAAATCATCATATTGTGATAAGATGTTATCAAAATCGTTAACACAATTTGAATCATTATATAATTTGAAAATTTGATACAGAAAATATTTTCGGAATGCTCGCTCGAATTGCATACAGGTTGGTTCCCAACAATTCCCACCAGCTTGACGTATTAGTACAAAAAAATATTTCTAGGCCTTCATTATTCAGCCTACGCGTCAGCAAGTAAAAGTCCTTGGTGCTTGACTCATTCTTTAAATCGTCATACAACTGTCCAATGGAATTTATTGTAATAGAAAGTGCATTGATAAACTTTATGGATGTTGTGACATCGCTTCCAGTATTTTTGTTTCTCACTATAATATTAGCTAGCAAATTTTGGGCTTTAAGCAATAAATTTCGCTGTAATTCGTTCGCACGATAAGGCTTGTTATAAGGCTTTGAGGCATAGAGGTTGCTAGAATTTAACAGATCAAATAGTTTATCCATAGTATCGATAAACTCAACAGTGCCATTACATGGATCTAAATCACCTGATTTGGCATACGTTTCCATTGCTGCCTTAACAGAATTGCTAAGCACCTGTGCTGCTAGGTGCACTTTTTGTTTTTGGAAACTGTTTGGTGATATATGGGATTCCATTAATTTGGGAGCACACCGAAAATCTTTTTGTTTATCTAACTCATAACATTTATATATATCGTCCCAACTTGCAATTTTACCATTGAACTCGAAGTCGTAGTTCATCAAATTATTCCGAACGCATTTCATGAGATGAGGGACGTCAAACATGTAGTAAATTATTTTCCCATCTATTTCAAAATAAGTGTGTTCTTTTGAGATTCCCATTGATTTTGAAAACTTTATAAAATCCGAACCCTGGTTTGAAACAACGGCTCTTATTTTAAATCCCAATTCCAACAATTGTTTAACGGTATTGGTTATCCATTCCTCCAATGCTTTGTCGATTTTATTGCTTGAAATAAGTGCATAGCCGATTACTTGCTTCCACTCACCTGATATTCCTCTGAGCATAATTGTAAAAGCATATCCAGCTGCATATGTGCTTTGAATGTCATCAATTTCGTGTAAACCTATTACTTTATCCCTGTGTGTGTCATAAAAAAGGGAATATTTTAAGCTTATTTTGTCCATACATAATATACATTCCCTTTCAAAAGGTGTCAAGTGTTTTATAGCCTGAGATAGAACTTCCCATACATAGTCACTAATTCTGGTGCTTACTGGTATGGCCACGGTAGCCAAATTACGTTTAGATGGCAAACGCAAGGTTTTTGATAAAAATTTATACGCATGTGGACTTGAGTAATAAATACTTAAACAAAATAATTTAAAATCTTTAGAATATCTGTTATTTTTACAACGAGGTTTTAAATTGGTCTGTGCTTTGACAATTTTGCTTAGATTCGGTGATAAAAACTTGTCGCACCCACGTAAGAACTGCTGGCGACTGATGTCCGTTGGCTTAGTATCTTCCATAAACTTCATCTTTTTCACACAGCTTACAATTTGTTTTTGAAGTTTTCTCTTTCTTGGGGTATAATGTGTCATAGTTTTTGGGATCTGCGATGTTTCGTCACTATTGGATGCCATTGAATTCGTGTCGATCTGTTTTTGAATACCTCTGCTAAGCAAATCTTTTAAAATTTCCGTTTTTGGAGGTTCAATTTGTGTATTAATGGAGTTCATTGAAGCAGGCGGTAAGTTTGATATGGGAACAGCAGCGCTTTGTAGTTGCTGTTTCTTATACATCCAATCTTCAAAGTGTAAACTACATACGTACATGTTATGTAATTGTTCTATGTTTTTATCTCTCAAGTCGGGTCTTTGACATGCGCTTATCCAAAATTGGCACCTATAAATAAAAAGTATTCAATAAATAAATACACTTTAAATATTTTCTCTCGCAATTTTCGGCACAGGAGCCATCTTAGGGGCATAATGTATAATCAATGGAGTATACGCTTGGGGGTAGGACTGTAAGCAGCAACGTGAACCAAAGGAGTTATTGACTTAAAAATTCAAAGAAGAAATTGTATTTTAAGTGACAATAGTTAAATGTACAGTAGGTCACAAGCTGTAAAGACGATTCACGCAAGTAAACTGAAAATTTTGGAAAATCCAAAAATGCACACCTCGAAGGCTATGTAATGTTTTAAATAAATAATTGACTTTTATTACCGAAGCACGTATTTTGCTTAAAGCTACAAAAAAAATCTTTTTGTTTAATTAACACGAATTCGCTTACTGCTTGATACCGGTGATTCGTATTTTGTTACCGAAAAAAAAAGTCATATAATTAATGTACTGGACGATTTACGATTGTGAAATTTAAAAGACTTCTTAAGGATTAAAATCTAAAGCTAATAAATAGTCAAAGTGATTTCCGTAATTTCGTGAAGTTCCGTCTTTCAAAAGATATCTTGTTCACATCCATACCGACCAACTGACGTCCAAGTCAAATCATTTTTAATTAACTGTTTTTTAAATAATAATCGAAATAAATAATCTTACAACTACGTCAGAAGTATTAAGTAATTGAAATCTCCTCTTGCTATTGGTGTACTTTTTTATTATAAAATTGTAATATAAAGCTGGTGGAATTAAGTTGAATGGATCTCGATTTTTTGATTTGGTGACAATAGAGTACGAGGTACATTTCCGCTTCGCGTTCGATGTGTGCAAAAATAGCGATATTTCTTTTCTTTCGTAGATATGGTATGGGTACCTAACTCAGCGAAATTCTTTGCATTGACTCAGTAACTCAGGCACCGGCTCATTGTGTTAACTCAGCCATCAAAATAAAACCGTGTAGCCAATAAGTAAAATAAAATGTAGATAATAAAGATTACCTACGTATGTACTGTGTATCACTCCTTTTACATTTCACGGGGTTGCAGTTTATAACAAATAATATAAAATAACAACATTCTGAGTCTGGATGTTCAACATCAGGCTTCCTGACACCTTTCGAATTTCCCTGTACTGCGCTGTGTGCCAACACATTTTGAACAAGTGAGTTAAACTCTTAGCTACCAAGCGTCTAAATTTGATTGCGGCGATATTCCGTCAAAATTCAAGAGGTCAAATGTGACCGCACCCACCCACGGGCACTTTAACCCATAAATATTTATTTTTAGAGACTACTTTTCTATGAAGAAGTTTAGCATTAGAGAATCAATATTAAATTTTCTATCCTCTAGTGGAATAAAAAGTCAGTTAGTCTATGGATATTTATTTAGAATCTACGTTCATTTCGTACGCCATTCTCGTGTGAATGTTATTGTGTTGATTTTTGGATTTTTCTAGTGTTTTATTAGTATTTTAGTATAGTGCTTTATTATAAAATTGGATGAAAGATTTTGTGTGAACATAATTTATTTTTTTACGTAAATAATTTCGAGTAATATATAGAAATAATTGTGATGTTCACGCTGCCGTCATCCGCTTGGTATGATTTTTTTTTTTTGTTATCAAAATACAATTAAATCTGTTTGTAATGAAGTAAAACCTGACTTTTGTTTAGAACACAGGATAGAGAATTTTGTATAGATTTTATAATGCCAAACTTCTTTACAGAAAAGTAGTCTCTAAATATAAGTTTTAATGGTTTAAAGTGCTGTGTGTGTGCGTTCGAATGCAACCGCTCGGAATTTGACGGATGCATGCGACTGCATGGAATTTTTATGGGGATGGAAGGGCACATAGCGCTGTGAACTAAGTTAGCGCAATGAGGGCTAATAATCTTCCGCTCATCAGATGTCGTTAGTAGACAATGAGGTGAGGTTTTTTTGTTACACAATTTAATTTAATTGAGAACTCAATTACAAAACAATGCACATTTTTAACTCTTTTTTTAATTTTCTACCTGTATGAATATCTTTGGTTTGATTTATTTATTTTTAATCTAATTAATATAAAATATAACTAATAATATACAAATAAACATTAACCTTTGTATTTTTCGAACAAATTGAGTTCCCCACTATCAAATCTGTCAAATGGTGGTCAAAGGTGTAAACCACAATTGTAAGTGGCGCCACTCTGGTGGCAGAAAAAGTCGTGGATGCCCTCATTGCGCCCGGTCACATCCAGGGTTGCCGTTCTACAAATTTTGAAGTCCCTAGACTAACAGAAAAAATCCGCCAGAAACAGGATTTTTCTTTTTCTTAAAATCCGCTAGATGTCCCTAGGTATATTTTCGTGGTACCATTGGGCTAACTGAAAAATCTTGCCTAATGGTCAATGAATACCGAAAATCTAAATCTATAAATTCAGTAAAACCTTAAAAGGAGCGGACTCTATTTCAAATAAATCAGTTATTTATAGTGTAGGTTAATGATATGACAACCAAAACGAAAATTATTCATGTACAAAATAAAAAAATATTGTAAAAAATTAATCTTAAATCTTTAAACCACGTTTAAACATTAGTCATCTTATTAAAAATAAAACAATTAGCTCAGTACATTTTTGTACCTAAATTTCAAAATGAATAGCGAATTATGGATCCAGATCATAAAAAGAACTTCAGCGGAAGTTGAAGCTTCGCCAATGTCTCCAGTTCCCATCTTTGGTTCGCCTTTATCGACTTGGTTGACAACATCTTCGCGAATATCATTCGCTGTGCAATTCTTTTTTTTAATCCTTAACTGATTTCTTATCAGAAGAATGGAATTTAAAGTTTTTTTCTGATAGCTTGTTTCGCAGTTTGCTTTAAACTAAATTCATGGCACCAAATACGCGTTCAAATTCTGCATTTGGGTGCGGTAGTGTTGTATTACTATTGCAAAATTACGTAAATCTTCGAATATGTTTACTCCTGCTGCATTTTTGTATGTCGAAACCTTAGACCATGGTTTAAGGTCGAAACAGATGAAAGTGAATGAACGACGTTGAATTGTTAGTTTATGTTCGGGAATTCTCGTGAAATTATATTATATATTATGCAGTGTTACCAACGGTAGATTACAAAATTGGACATATGATAAATTACTTATTTGAAATGAATTACTTTATGAAAAGTCGCCATCTCAAAAGTCCAAATTATTTCTCGCTAAAACGATTTTTTTATCCGCTAAACATTGTTAAAATCCGCTAGATCTAGCGAGAAAATCGCTAAAACGGCAACACTGGTCACATCTGCGTGTATCGTGTCGCTTTGTGGCGATACACGCAGATGCGGCCCTAGTATAAGAGTATTACACGATACGCGTGTTCTATATAGTTTGCTTATGTATAGGTACTGTGAGGTTTCTAAGAACAAAGTAGCAAAGTTATTCTCATCACAATTACTTCAAACTAAGATAACATATACATATAGTATGTAGCGCGTTACGTATTAAAAAAAAAGGAAACTTACCTCGCATCACGGGGAAATCTATGAAATTTTAGATCCTTGTTCTTTTGTCTTGTTGTCGAATTACATCCATAGACAGAACAGTACTGCACCATTATGATAGTTGTGAAACGAATATAATTTAAAATAACAGCACTTAAAATTACTTTAATACTTCATAACGCGCTCGTGTACACTCCCTTGTATAGTTATAGTCTATGGTTATAGCAGAAGCAGACTCGGTGGAGTGTGCTAGCACAAGGTCAGCCCGCCGCCTGCCCCGCAAGGCCCTCAGCGCTGATCTTCATAGGGATGGGCAAGTGAAAAAAATAAATCGATATATATATATATATGTATTATCGATATTTTTAAACAGTATCGACATATATCGCAAAATAAATATAGATATATCGATATATCGTCATTTTTTGCATTATGTATAAAGCTCAAAATTTTATTACTGGACGGTTGGGCGACGAAAAAAAAGATATTCAAATTAATTTAAATTAAAATATATTCAAATTAATACGAAAATCGACGATATGTATCGATATTTTTATGAGAAAAATTCGAACCAAGCGAATTTTTACCCAATCTTAGCTCTGCACAAGTGCATTTTTATTTCTCAACTGTAAGACTGTCTTTAAATTTAAACTGTGGTTATAGTTAGAGATACAATACCAGGATGTAAAGAAGTATGATTACACTTATTTTAAAGCGATCAAAAAGTAGCTTCGGCAGATATTTATGTAAGTAAATTTTCAAAACGAATGATGTCCTTGAAAAATATATTAAAATTAAAGGAGTGAGGGATACGTGCGCTATATATAGCATGCTTATGTATACTCTAAGGTTTCTGAGAATAAACAAATTACCTAAGTTATTTTTTCTTAGCTTCATATTTTTATTCTCATCACAATTATTTCAAACTAAGATAACATGTAGATACGTAGCTAGTTACGTATTATAAAAAATTGGAAATTTACCTCGCATCATGAGGACATCTATGAAATTTTAGATCCTTGTTCTTTTTAGTTGTCGAATTACATCCATAGACAGAACAGTAATTCACCATTATGATAGTTGTCAAACTTATATATTTTAAAATATTTCACGATAACAGCACTTAAAATTATTTCAATACTTCAAAACATGCTCGTGTACTGCCATCTGCCATGTACCTATTGTTATAGCAGACTCAGTGAAGTGCGCTGGCACAAGGTCGCCCGCCCTCTGCCCCTCAAAGCCCCACCGCACCGTTGCTCTCATAGAAATATCTTTATTATATCTACGGTTGCTCTGCACAAGTACATTAATTTCCAAACTATTATGGCACGTTTAGGTTGTGGCGAACATTTTCCCGAGTTATTCATGGACGAGTACAACGCGTTTATATATTTGTCTGTACTCATTCAAACTAGTAAGTAGATCTTTTAAACATGGATGACGTGCGTCTCATTGCTACGACGCTATGTTGTCTACTTAATATTTATAGTACGCACAAATATTTAAGTACTTTATTGTCTTTAAGCTGTGTCCACTATTTAGGTAGTTAGTCTGTGGGATTGTTGGTCGGTAAAAGATTTGTATTCCGCGAGGGTCTCAACGTAGGTATATCAAGTTATTTGACGCGGATTGAAGACTTATAGATAGATTATAATTTCCAGTCATCAGATAGGTAAAAGTTTCATATGGTAAAAACATAATAAAAACAAATTAAAAACAACAGTTACAGGTACCACATGAAGTTTTACTCGGTAAAAATTTTTTTGATTGACTTGCTGTACAGTTGTACACAACCCCAACCACGCGTTGCTTTAAAGAATATGTAGCTTTAATTGCGTCCAACAGATGGCGCTTTTTCGTAATAATATACATAAACGCACGTAAGAAAATGCAACAATAGATCAAAATAACAAAGCAATGTGTAAAAACTATCGAGATTCAATAACGCACGAACAACAAGCAGAATTGAATAACGTGAAACATGTAGATTGTAGAATTACGTGACGATGTTTTATCCATCTTTTATCGTACAGCTTAATCAGTAACACAGATTAGTAATCTGTGATCAGTAATCACGTATACGTATCAAGTCCTGTGTTCTAAGCTTGTTTTCTGTGGCCGTGGATAATTGTAATTGTAAAACGGTATTGTAGAAAATATTGAAACTCAGAACTCTGATCAAAATTAATATATTTAGGAATTTAGAGCCGATTCAGTCGTCATATAAAATGTATTCATCAATCAATCAATTAGGTACCTATGTTTTATTTATACCTACAAAATTTTTTGGGAAATTGATTGTTATGTTATTGTTACGGATGTTTAAATCAACGTCAACTTCATGTGATAATTGTATTATACACCAATATTTAGATTAGCAACAAAACTTGCAGAATTTGACTTCTGCAAGCCATCACGTCAAGCTCACTTCCACATTTTTTGTAACTTGTAGGGCTTGCCACAAGTCGCAAGTGTAATAAACACTACTTTGAAACTTCTGGTAGTAACTTGCGATTTATTTTGCTTGCAAATAAAAGTTTAAAGTTGCTGAGCAAGAAAGATGTCAGGTAAAAAAGTTTGGACGCGGGATGATATTGTGCGGCTAATAGAGAAGTAGGTATGAACGATACAGAGTTATGGGATACGAAAAGTTTATGCAGTTTTAACATTTCATTCTGATGAAATTTTTAAACTGCGTAGGTTCTTCGCATCTGAGTTCTCTTAATAGATGATTGTGGCTACCAATGTTATCTCTTCTTAATATCCTATTCTTAACCCACTTTCTATTTTTCCGTTTATTTTTAATGCTACTAAATAAGACTACTAATAGCAGCAGCACCTATATTTCTACAGTTTGGCGTGATGATTGATTTCAATTCTCTGAATTTGGATCCTCTGACTTGCATGCAAAAAATATTGCTCGTACTATTGTAAACTCTTTTCCAAGTACTGCCACAAGTTATTTTGCAGGCCGCTTGCAGAAGCGAATTACGATAGTAATATTGGTACTGTAAACTGCAAGTAAAGTAAAAGTACACTTACGGAATAACTTGGCAGAAGTTATTCTAAAGTTCTAAACACCGCCTATGCTGTATGATCTCGTGCTGCTCATTCACGTAGCACGTACTGAACAAATATAGTCAACTTATCAGCTTATCACTTCGCTCTTGAAATAAAAATGTCGACAGTAATCACTAATCAGAAATTATTTATTTTTTCAATTGATGAGTGAGATTGTATCGACTAATACAAACTCACTATACAAAAATAGCTAGGATTCGAACTCAGGACCGTGGTATTATTGTAACCACTATCCGTAGAAATGTTCACGGATATTATAGTTAATTCTACACAGACAAAACGAAAGCACGAAGATTTCTTAAACAGCGACATCTAGATTTAATTTAAGGAATTAACAGACACTGTATTTTCATATTGATACCGACTAAAAATATATATAGGTATTTTTGAATTGCAGGAAACTCAAAACATCATTAAAAATTTCTAAAACCGTTAATAGAATTGACAAACTTATGTGGCACGTATTTTAAGCATCGAAACATTTAGTTCTAGTACAAGAACCTTGGGTCAAAATTTGTGACTTTGACTTTTGCGAGGTCATAATTTTTAAGGAACTTTAAGTGTAACTTTATTCTTAACGCGATTGGCCATTGCCTTACAATAAAGTAGCTGGTCTGTGTATTTATCTTTGATTTATTTTCACCTGGCATTAATAAAATAATTATACCGCCATCTGTGAGAAGTCGTAAGAACTTTCTGGTCATATTTTCTACAGAGTACGGCATTTATAGTTTCTGCCACCAGGTCGGTGCCACTTAAAAATTAGTAAGATTTGACAAATTTCATAACTGGGAAGTTAATTTGTTCTAAAAATGTAGATAAAGGTTAATTTTTCTTTCTGTACCATTAGTTATATTTTGTATAAGTTAGATTAAAAATAAATAAACCAAACCATAGATATTCATAAAAGTATTACTAATACATTATTATTGTTACTACAAACTTTCCTTTAAAACTAACTTCACAATTAAATGACAACGTGTAACCTTACAAAAAATAACAAAAACTTCACCTTCGTCAAAGAAAATATACACCATTGATAAATAGGTATTGATATAGGTACACTATGCGAACCTCCGTGTCAACTAGCGACATCTGGTGTGCGGAAAATTGTTAGCCCTTATTTACTCATTGGTATTTTTTACATTTACATTTTACATTTTACATTATATGGTACAATTATGGAGTGTAGAGAATATTCCATGGGTACAATGATGCTAGGAAAGTAACAAAGTACGTACTATACAACATGTGACGAAAACCCCGTAGTTCCCGTTAAGTGCGTTACTAGGTACCAGTATCAGTATTCAAACGTATAGAAATTATAATTTTTTTCAGAAAATACGATCATTTTTTAAATCTAATTAAAATAAATTTTAATTCAAATTGTATGTTGTTTTATTACCTAACTAACTGACCCGAGCATCGGTAAAGCGCAGTCTTTGTCAAGACACATACTCGTCGGACAATGCAGAGGTAATAAAACCATAGAAGTACAATTTGGAAATTACATTTTTTTTAAATAAAATTAATTTTTTAATGGTTGAGTTTTTTGAAGAAACTTATTTCTATACGTTTGAATATTGGTCGTTTTTATAAGATAGGGTGACAAACAAAGAGATTTAAATATATTACTACTATATACTTATTTTTTTTATAAATGTCTTTGGTGACAAACGAGCACACAGTCAACCTGATGGTGTGGTCGCTGATGCCCATAGACATCTACATCTATCCTCCATTAAGAGTCAAAATGCAGATACGTTGTCACCCCTGAGGACTAAGATGGAATGCCTCGTCCCCGGTTCTAAACACTCACCGTTCAAAACACAGCAGTGTTAAGCTGCTATTTTAAGCAGGTATTACGTACGTATGGCACTGATACTGATAACGCACTTAACGGGAATCACAGGGTTTTTGTTACATGTTGTATAAGATAAGGCAAAGTATAAGTTCGGCTTAGACCAAAAAAGATGATGGACGGAGCGCTGAATACATTTCAAGTGATGCCGAAACCGTGCTCAAAGGC